ATGATGACTCCTTACTGTGTCTTGATTTCTGTTTCATTCTTTTTGACACTATCAAAATAGCAAGTGCACCAACAGATTTATAACATGATTGTAAAAATCCTCATCCCCCTGAAGCAGGACTGATACAAAGGGCGAGTGCACCTCTGTTGGACCTTACTGGCTTCTGTGTTTGCACACATGCAGCTGTCTGAGACACTGGGAGAAAATATTCAGCATCACTGCCATTCTTGAGTGTGCTTTGGCAGCTACAAAGTCCAAGCAGAAGCAATCAGCCCTACATGAGCAACAGTCCTGAGGACCACTGATGCCTTGGAGAGGGTCTTCCACTGTCAGATGAGCACTAACTATGTAGTACTTTGTTTAGTTATTGCATAGCATCCACCAAGTTGGCATTTCTATCTGAAAACTTCCCCAGAAAAAAAAAAGAAAAAAAAAAAAAAAAAAGGACAGATTGTATTGAGGACACGAAAACTTCACAGGGAAGTCCTGTGAAACTTCACAGGGAAGTCCACAGCCTGTCCTTTGATTCAACTGCTGTCTGACCAGCAACATCTCCCTTGTTTTCATTGCTGTCAGACAAAAGAGCAGCAGCTCTGAAGATTGTCAAGGCATTTTTTGAGAATAAGCCGGACACAGGACCCAAGTAATCATCCTTGGAGATTTACGTCATCCTTTGGTGTTTTGCCCATCAAAATAGAGCCTGCTTCAAAGAAATGACATAGCCCCCTTGATGGCAAAGTGCAAGCACTGGGAGAAAGCTTTTGGATTTGTGACTGCTTCACAGCACAAGTCTTAGCCTCAGAGAAATTCAAGTTTACCAAAAGCCCTTCAGTTATTTTTCTGTTTCATTTCCCCAATGCCCACCAGATTAGAGCACAGCTTGGCAATGTCACTAGAAGAAGGAGAGAGAGAAAAGAAAACAATAAAAACAGATGCCAACTACAAATGCTATTGGCAATGTTTCTGATATTTGCCATAAAAGTACTTCAGACAGAAATGTTTTTCATTTCTATGAGTTTTGGAAAGCTTCAAATTTTAGCTGGTACTGCATGCAAAATCAGCAGGTCTATGCAAATATATTGGCATACATAAGATTGACAAGTGGTGAAAGTTGACAAACTCCCATCAGAGCCAAAGCAATCTCTGCAGTGTGTGCTGATGGAAGAACTCCTGCTCTCCCTTGATGAAGATAAGAGTCTTTTATAGTAAAATGAAAGCAAGGAATCAAAGGCTGAAAGTCAGTCTTCCAGTATCTCATCTGATGTGTGACTTGATCAAGGGATATTCGTGATTCCCAGTATCACAGGCGAGATCAGAAAGGAACAGTCTCCGTACTGAGACTGAGTTCCCTGGCAGCTGTAAGCATACAGAGATGAGTCTTATGGACATTTGTGGCTTACCAGAAAATGGTGCTAATGTACCATGATATTCTTAACCTCAAATTATGATGTTCTCAAAGACCAAGAGACATTTAGTTATTGTAAGAATGGATCTGTTCCTTTGCATCCTGACGTAGTAGCCCACCAGCACATACTTTCAAGATTCCCATTGCACATACTAAGATAGAAAAGCTGAGCCTGTCATGTAAACATGATTCTGGAAGGCAGGGCTACGTGAAGAAAAAGTGGAGTTTAATTGGAGTTTTGATGTAGCTGGAAGAATAGACAACATTGACACTGCATGTTTTCGGTAACATTTATACTCTATCTTGGTCATATAGAGGTCTAGATATATACACATATATACTATAACTACTCCATTGACCTTAGTTACTAGTTGTCTTCTAAATCTCATGTAAAATCTTCAAGTATTCTTAAATACACAGAAACAGCTATGAAAGCTAAGTGAAGTTGTTAACTTTTTTTTTGATACTATTTCTTAATGATTATTGTTTGTATCAAGTGGCTGTAAAGCTGTGTCATATATAATATTGTGCTTATGACTGGGCAGTGGTTTTTGGCTTAAGAAAGAGGCAGAAGAACTGTGTGATATTCACTAAGAAAACAAAGATCCATTTTGCTATCTTTTCTGGAGTTTCAAGAGGGGAGTTGTTCAAACTCAGTTGTATGCAGTTAAATCTGTTCTTTGATGCATAATGGTGGTTCCAGAGGGAAACACGTATCCATGTCTGCTTGGGCTCTAAGCTGACCATTTTCTTCTATTTCTGTTCTGGCTCTGGGTGTCCATGGCCCTGTTCCTGCCCATCTGTAGAACTCATAAAGTCTAATTTAAACACGGTAACATACACAGGCAGATGATGACTTGGAAGTACTTGAAGGAAGGGATGCGCTTCATGACTCAAGTGTTTGTGATCTCAGAATAAAACTGACAATGAAAGTCCTTTACATGGAAAAAAATCTGTCAGCTTTTCCACAGAAAAGACCATTCTCTTTTGTTATCGCCTTCAGAACAGAATGCAGAAAAATCTAGGAAGATTTCACCCTGCTTTGTTGGCTGAACCTGATTTAAAATGGGAGTATATGAGCACAGCCTGAATTTATATCAGATTCGTGAGTTTTCAGTCAAAATGGAATAATGAACACAGTTGGCTGAGCAGTGAATTTCACCAATATCACAACAAGCCTTCCAATTTTCACTAAATATGAAATAGTTTTGGGGAATAATAGTCTTCCAGTTATGATCCAGCCATTTCCTCTCCCACAGGAATTCCACAAAGTTATAGAAAACAGTGATGAGGTATACCCTTGGCCACTGCTTCTTCTCCTGAGCAGGTACCTATGTGGACGGTGAGTGGCTAGGATGGGTGCTGTGATATGCTGCAAATGAAAACACAGCACCTAAAGGAAAGCCTTGGTGCAGAAGTGCATTCAATTAATGATTTAGGACTACATTACTCACGCAGCTTTCTAATTCGGATTGCTTCATGTTTATACTTTGGCAGACCAGAGGTGAATGGATTCCATGTTAATTTGTTGATCTATACCTATTGTAATTAACATTGTAAAAGCGGAGAGATAAAATTTTCTGGGATGCTGCTGGATGTTTAATCATGTTCAGCAGCACAAGTTGGGGTGACAGGGATATTCATACCATGGACACGGGGTAATATCCCGCTCTTCAGAAAAAGCTTTGCCCAGAGGAACACACCCATGGCATCTCCTGTTAATTGACACTTGTTTCCTCAGGCTGAGGGCAGATCTGCTGTTTATTGTGTACCTGTACATTAGCATCCCTCCGAGTTTACACGAACAGACAGTCACAACATCCAGGCCACCAAAATTCACAGCCAGGGGGGGACTGTCTCCTACTACATGACACAACTGCCACCCCCCCAGGTGTGCTGAGGAAAACGGATGGGCACAGAGCCCTGGGGAGCCACCAGTGGCGAATAACCAGTGGAGCTGCTGCAGAACAAGAGCAGGAGAGAGCTGGAGTGGCAGGGCGAAGACCGCCTTGTTCCTCTTTCCCTGTCAGGCCTGAGCCTGGGGCTGCAGGCGATGCCGCCAGGCCGGTGGGACAGCCGCCGGCTCCTAGGCGCTGTTTGTTGTTCTTCATCCGGCGCAGGAACTTGGCAGGAGCCGGTTCTTGCTCCGGGTCCCACAGGCAGGAAAAGTCTCCCAGCCCGCGGAGGAGACAGGCTGGCTGAAAGAGCCCCGCCAGTCCCGCTGCAGATAAGTTAATGTACACAGAAGGGATGTAAATTACCACGACCCTCAGCAGCAGGACACTGGCCAGGGCCTGTCAGGAGGAGGACAAGCGTCGGCAGGCTCAGCGCCTCGCTGACGTTTACCTCCAGATAGAGCCGCCGCTGCCCTGCAAGGAAGGACCTCGTGGAGCCAGGGCTTCCTTGAAAACAGCTGCCTGTCCCCGACACCTAACGACTAATTCCGTTTTAATCAGGGGAATTAATGGAAGGTGGTGCACTGTTTTCCCAAACCATTTGCATGGGGACAGCAGCCTCCCCCCTGGCCTCACTGCCATCTCCATTATGTTTCCTTATCAGAGCTGATTTTTTTCCTGCTCCCCACTCCGGGGATCTCGGCATCCCGTTATCTCCACCCCCGAGCCCTGACGACACTCTTCTCCCTGTTTACACACTGACATCACACTGCAGCCTCCCTCCCACCCAGAAATAACCCTGGGGACAAAGCAAACAGGAAAAGTCCCATGACGCATGCACTGCTGTGGCTGTCTGTGCAGCTACAGCCACATCGTCTGAGCCCAGGGCTGTGCCCGCAGCGAGCAGTGAGCCTGCAGCCATGGTGACACGATGTTGCATTGGATGTTGGGCTCTTATGTTGTGTTGTAGGAAGGGATGGAGGCCAGGTGGCCTCTGGATATCTGGATATGAGTCAAGTGAGAGAGACAACACTGTAATCCTAGTCTTCAGGTTCATACTTCAGCCACCAGACCGTGCTCCTCTGTATAAATGTTTAACTCTTTCTCCCTTCCCATGTTTCAAGCATTCATTCCTTGATGGAGACACATGGGTAAATTTAGAGCCAGGTACTCTGGATGGGATGGTGGGAACAACAGTGGGAAAATGCCTGTGAGATCACACTCAGTTGTTCCAAATAGCCTCTTGTAATCCACACACAGCCCATTAATTTCAGCAGGCCTCCTTGTGTGGTAAGACCCTATCCGAGATGTGTGTGGGAGGCACATTTAGGCCCATGGAGATTTCATTATTATTGTAAGCTTCAGAGTTAAAAGGCTCCAGGGGACAGCACTTTGCACTCCCTCTTGGGGAAAAGCCAGTCTTAGCCAGACCAGCTTCTCTGTATTGTCCCCACTCTTACAAGCTGTGCTGTCTTGTGATCGTTGTGCATTCTGGCCAAATACCTGACAGCAGACAGCCACCATGGCCATGCTCACTTGAATTATGCTGCATAGTTTAGGTTACCCAAGTCTTCCTAAATGCATGTATTATTTCTCTGTCCTTGAAAAGGCAATTTCAGTTCAGCAAAGAAAGGGTAGCGTTATGGAAGCCAGAGAGCAAGAGCTGAGCAAGAAGCACCGTCCTGTTTGGCAGTATTTACCTGTGTGACTCCACTGTCTCATCTCATGAAGGTTTACTGCAGTTGGTTTCACAGGCACATTCGGACATGGAGTAGATTTGCTTTTGTAACCTGCATTAGAAACAAGTGGATACACAAGTCACACTAAGGCAGGTCAACACAAGACAGTCTTTTCTGTCTTCATGGATTAAACAAGCTACTGTTTTGTAGTAGGGAGCTACTGAATTTTTTTCCTAGCAGTACAATGCCCTGAAACCTAAAAGATAGCAATTCCTGGCGAAAGATAGCTCTCTGTATGGATACACACTTCCATTTTTTTGTTGCTGTTCTGCACATTAACTAACAGGGAAACTAGCAGCAAGATAAAGAAGTATGTTGGTAATCAGGTAGACATTTAACAAAGAGTAATAACCTCTCTTTTTAATTTACACATGCAGAGCAAGGAATAGAAATATCCTTGGCCTTGGTGGAATGATTCCAGCATCACATGCTGTAAAGGTTTTCTAGGAAACTGATAGATGCCCTTTTCCATGAGGACACTGATGTTGTTTTAGGGTCAAAGGGTGATCAACATGCCAGGGTTTGGTTGTAACAACACCCATTCTGCTCAAGGAAAAATTAGGGTAGATTCCCAAATGAGTCCAGGAGTGCAACGCAGCCAGTGGCCAAATACCCTCCTGGCCCTGAGAACCATTCAACACCCATCTGTGCGAAAAGAACACAGAGGAACACCAGGTGCTCCACTGCAAGAAAGAGAGACAAATAAGAGCAGAGCATGGGGAGCAGAGCACGCTTCCTTCCCTCCAGCTGAAGATCTGCTTTCCCTGGTCGGCCGGCACGTGTATGCCAAAGTGCTGGCAGGCTCTGTAGGCTGATACATATTTTCGTCTCTTCCTGCATGGAATGCCCCCCGTGTTTTCTTCCAAAATAAATTTGCATTCCTAGCACTGGCAATCTTTATCTTTATGTGCAGTTTTGAGCACACCCACTGCTTCCGGACTTAAGGCAGTTGTAGCACAAAGATTTACTGACATCAGATAGCAGTTTTCTTATAACTGCTGTAAGTTGTTCTTTTGGTGGACGGGACACCACTGGACTTCAGCTGGACGGAAAATAGAGTTTCACCAAAGCAAGTGTTTTGAGCAGGAAACTGAGTCATGAATGAACATATCTTGAAAGCTGACATGCTGATGGAAAGGACTGGAATAATTGCAGTATTTGAGCAAATGCTGGTTTGGGTTCTAAAGGGGCTGAAATCTGGTTCTAATAAATGTTGTGATTTTCACGGCAGGTGCCAATACCTTTAAAACAGGACCAGAACCACTCAAAACACGTACAGAAACAGTTCCAAATAGCTCTTTCTCAGTCCATATGTAATGTTAGAGTGAGAAAGAGGAAGGAGGGTACAGTAGAAATTTCTTCCTGGGCCCAGATGTTGCATCTGCTTAACCCTTCCCGTGCCTCCAGAGGCAGCGACTGGCAACAGAGACACAGCCCACAGCACACCAGCAGGCTGGAGAATCCAGCCCCACATTTTTGTGTGTTCTGTTGCTGCACTCACACCTTTTCACTGCATTTCATTTCAAGACCATGCTCTCTTGGTTTCAAATAGGGCTTCTGTAGTGAGTCACCCCTAAAATACCCAGCACTATGTATAAACACATCTGAGGTCTCCTGAAGGAATGAATCCCAGTTTTCAGTTTTGCAACAGACACCCTGATGAGATGTTGGCCTGTCATAATGCTGTCTAAATGTTCAGGGATGTTGTTTCGGGATGGAGTTCGCATTTTTTCTAACATAAATGCAGATTCTGACACAGGTGCTAAGGGATTTGGGGAGGTATCTGGTTCAAAAAAAAAAAAAAAAAAGTTTGCTTGACTGTACATAGCTGGCCTCTGGCTTCCTTCAGAGATGCTCCCCCTTCCCCCAGCCTCATGCTTTGAATAAGCATCCAGAGGCTTGGAAGCTTATCCAGACTTATCCAAATCTCTTTGAAGGGATGGATTAAGGCAGGAACCCTGGGACCCAGGCCAAGAAACCTCAACCGAGCAGCAAGTCAATGAGAAACGAAGAGTCTGTCCAGGGGAGCTGGCTAAGGAAAAATGAAGAAGTCCATCCTAGGGAGGCGACAGGAAGGGATTGTCTGACTGGAGAAGGGGGGGCACTATGGGGAGCCCAGCAAGGAAGATGAAAGAGAGCAGAGAGGGAGAAGGTTGGATCAGAAGGGCAGGGACAAGGCTCACTATGGTGGGCTGAGGTCCCAGTTGCCTCAAGTCAAGCCTGCTTCAGGGGGCTGGGACCCAGCCTGCGAGTCTTCTAGGAAGACATTATTGTAGGAGACTTCTGGTAGAATCTTGCTGTGGCTCTAACAGCCACACTGGAGGAGCGGGCTGTTATCCCAGCAAAGATTACCTTATGGGAGTCATAAATATTTGCAGACCTGAGGAAATTTTATGAAATAATAAATGGTCCCAGGGATGAGGACCAGGAGGTTTCTATTCACATAATACCATGGCAAAGTACAAGAGGACCTTTAATAAAAATGAAATATGGCAAAATAAGTACTGACGAAAGGAAACCTCTGTTCATACAGCGCAGTATAACCTGGTGTCATTCTTCAGTAGAACACATCTCTTGATCTACAGATCTTTACAGACTGAGCTAAGAGCTAAGAGCTAAGATATACAAACAAGTAACACTGTTTTACCAATCCATGGTATTAAGGACTATAAGTGACAGTGAGCTTTGATTTCAAGTGTGCCATCTAAAATCAATGAAGATGCTTGGATTATCTGTTGGATGATGATAGATTTGCTTTTGCTGATTCCATTTCACTGGAAATGAACAAAAAAATGAACAATATTTGTTCATTTTTTTTTTTCCCCAGGCAGACTGAAGCATTGCCAACAGAGCAGTCTTTCTGCTGGAGAAGGGCAGGTCGAATACCCTGGGACATCATGGGGGTATCAGCCGTGCAGGAAGGGTGGATGGGAGCCAGCAGGAGATGGGGCCAGCGGATGCCTCTGCTGCCTGGCTTGGCCAGCAGCCCTGCACCCGGGATCCTGGCCTGCCGTGTGCTGAAACAGAGCCTCGACCACCCAGAAAGACTCCTAAAGCAGGAGTTACCCTTTTTCAGTCACCTAGTTTGTTGTTGTCGATGTTTGTTTGGCTTTGGTTTTATCTTAGCTGTTTCATTCATCTTTACATTTGGTGGTTTATTTTTGCTACTCAAATTAACCAAACAACAGGCAATTAGTCTGCTTCACTGCATAAAAGTTATGAATGTTTCATGTTCTGGGCTTCTAAAAATGGGCGGGAATAGAAGTAACATCATCAATTTACTGTTTTTTTTTTCATGATTAATGTTGTAGTAACTGAGAATAGAGACTACCTTCCAGCAGAAGTAGCTTTGGAGCATAGTTGGAGCTCAACAAGGTTGTCTACACATAAAAAAGTCAAATTGGTTCATGGTTAAATGAGGCACTTGAAAGCAGAGATCAATTTTATTTTTTCTGTCCTTTCTTTTAACATTACAAAGACTTTTTTTTTTTGCCACCAAAGACACAAAGAACATTTCCCCGTGGTTGACTCACACTGTAAACTAAATTTAAAATTCTAAGGAATAGTGGTTATGCCTGAGTGAAGCTTGTGGATCGTAGAGAAAAAAGACATCTGCTTCAATCAGTGCTACAGACTCCTACAGTGTCTCTGAAGCTTGGACAACGCTTTACCCCATTTCCAGCCCGCTTTATCTTTTGTATTTCTTCCCTTCCCACAGGAAACAGGGTGCAGAACATGGAGCAGAGATGAGGCCCTACCTCAGAGCATGGTGCTAGAGGCTGTTCTCTCAGCTGTGCCTCTTGAGAAGTGAGAAAGAGCAGAAATTTTTAACACAAAGCTAATTAAGCCAGCGCCTGCAGCCAGCTCAAAGACCTGGCTGATTTGCAGTAGTCTCGGAAGAGTCCATCTCACAATGATAAAGCCTGGAGACTACTGCATCTGCCAATCTCTGTGTCAGGAGCAGCAGCACAACAGTTACGTCAGGGAGGCAGTAAGAGGGGAAGTGACAAGTTACTTCCAAATACGACGAAAGAAAACATTCAAAATGTTTGTCTTAGAACTATTTTTCTGGTTAATGTTTAACCTTTCATTTTTCCAAAGCAATGTTCTTGTTATCAGCTCCATTGCTGAAGGTCACATATAGAATAAAAGTCATATCTTAAACATGAATAAATAACACAAGCAGAAATTAATTGAGTGCAAGTGACTCATGCGACGTTTAAGACTTTCTTTACCTACCAATGTAAGCAAATGGTGTAACCATGTCCCTTTTTGTCCTGTGAGCTGAAAAGAGATCAAGTAAGCCAGAAATGACCTATTGTGCCATGAATGCACTCGAGCTCCATTAGGAAGGCTCTCGTCCTATTCAAGGAAGGAAACAGCTATGGGACGAGAGGACAACTGTGCCCCAACAGGGGACGTGCTCCAGCAGTAGGGAAAGGTTCCCTGCTAATGGGGGAGCACTGGGAAAGCCTTTTGACTTGTGCTGTCCTGCACTGAATGACAGTCATGATTTTGACTGATGCGGGGAGCTCCCTGATAAGAACCCAGGGAATAAAAACAAATTCTTTTGAGGAATTTGTGACCAATAAATCAATCATTTCATTAAAGCAAGCATGCAATGCATATGGTTTACCTCCTGTGTTTGAGGGTCTCAGCAGTTCTCAGATGCACAGGGGTTCATCCACTGAGGGGATTTGTTCAAGCGCAGGGGAAGATAGCTGGAATCTGGAAAGAGTTTCATTTGGATTTTCTTCATGGTAAATTCCTAGCTGTATTTACTTACGATTCTAAGTAGTTGTGTAGTTTCGTGAAGGACAAACAGAGTCAGAAAAGAAACAGTTCTCCTATTTGCACCAATTATTTGTACATTTCAGAAAAAAAAAATGGAACAAGTGCTCCACAGCAGAACAGACAGTTGTTTTCTGTGGAAGGCAGGGAAGCAGCGACTGTTGCTTTTACAGATCTAAGTGGAGCTGAATAATTTCTAAGATAACTGCTGAGGCAGTTCTTAAGATAATTATTAGTAATCAGATAGAGTTTATTTGTCCAGGTGCTTTGGTACTCTGGTCAAATCAAGCTGATTGATTCTTCCTGTTCTGGTGGGAACAAAAGGAAAGCAATATTATCCAAGCAATCTGTTTTCGAGATGTTATATGCACTGCTATCTTCATGGTTAGGTTTTGATGGTCTTATCTATGGCTGATACAGCTTTCACTCTCAACAAATGAAGACCTTGTGTGCTGGGCCTGCCACAGAGAAACACTGGAGGATGAAATTAGGGAACTCTGGGCACTGCTTTGACCTCAGGACCCATCACTATAACACCTGGGAAACAGGAAGCAACTTTCTTTGCTGCTGGGGTGACAACTGCTCTCACCTCTACCTGACAGTAATGGGCCAGTCTGCAAATCTCTTATGGGGTACAAGTAGCTGAGCTTTAGGGGTTTCAAAAAGCCTTTCTAAGGGACTGGTAGATAAAGTGTTGGAATATTCAAATAGCCCATATGCACTCTAATAGCAATTGTAATTTTTCTAAAGAAAGTTCTTTTTACTTGACCTTTTGCTCTGTGTGCTGTAAAGCCAATAAATTAAAATCCAGCTTTGATGTTGAAGATACTTGCTGTACTCCTGGAAATGAAAGCAGCTGTCACAAACGGCTTTTTTTTTTTTTTTTTTTCTTATTTAGAGAATAAACACTGGCAAACAGACAAATGAGTTGTTGTATTTCTCCTAATTGGAGTCAAGTTTAATTTTTAAGCTGATACTAGCAGTACTGGAGCAAAGTCTCAGAAATATAAACTCCAAAGAAAGAAGAGCCCTTTATTCAGTGACAGCTCTCACCTTGTCACAGCTGATACTTGGACTTTGTCACAAGTTTGTGAGGTGAAGGAGTGGGGGGACAGGCTCCTTTGCATTTCTGAGACAATGGCTAAGCCTGGACTAATGCATATTGAATCATAGAATCATTAAAGTTGGAAAGACCAAGAAGATAATTTTGGCTGACCATCAACCTATGCCTTTGACCACTCTAGACCATGTCCTACAGTGCTACATCCAAACGATTCTTGAACACCTCCAGGGATGGTGACTCCACCACCTCCCTGGGCTGCCTCACTGCTCTTTCTGAGAGAAATTTTCTCTTAATATCCAGCCTGAACCACCCCTAATGAGGAACGCCCTCACCAACACACAGTATTTCTCTTTCTGAATAGGAAGTGCTGTTGTTTTGTTTTGCCTACTTCAGCTCTCAGACAAATTTAATTTCTTTCTTCTTCCAAGAAGCTTGGATTTATTTTCTAGACCAGGATCTAGATCTAGAAAAATAACTTCATCTGGCACAGCCTCTGATTTCTGAAGAGAAAGGGGCTGTTCAGAGTTGATACTGCCGTCCAAGTCACTGTCTATCACACTTTCTTGCTCTATTTTCACTTTTCTCATGTAACATCACATCATCTCACTTAATACATTTGTTTCTGATTACTGGCTGTGTATAATGGCCCAGCACAGTGCCTTACAGTATGCTATGGCCTCATGCCATGGGAAAACATATTCGTAATTTTTATGACCCCTGTGCAGCAGTGATGCATTTTAAAAAAACAGAAGAACATATAAAGGAATTATTTTGTAGCAGGATTAAGCATCATTACTCACAGCAGACATACACATTTGAACTCATTAAGCCTTTGCTTTGTTATTCTTGGTATTTCAGAACATGTGCTCTGAGTGTCTCTTGGTTCTTTCCAATTCTGCTATATAAAACCCCTTTAAAATTAGGCAGGACTAGACCATAAAGCTCTTGATCTCAGACTCTGGGGACGGATTTTTCCCTGCCTGTCAATCTGGAGTGAATCTGCAGGCAAAGGATTTTTATTTCAGCTTTAGATGGTCCAAAAAATGCTGATGGTATGATAAGAAAGGTGACAAGGATCACCAAAGTGAGTGGGTTACAGCAAATGGATACACACATCCTAAGGTTGCCTTCTGCTGTTCCATACTATTAAAAAAAATAATAATAAAATTAAAACTGAGAAGAGTCTGGGTAGATGGATGAATGGGGTGGGGAAGAAAATGTCAGAGCAAGCCCCTGGCTATTTCTCATTTCATTTCACTCAGTGGCAATACGTCAAAAACAGAAGAAAAGGGAACATTGAAATTTAAGGGAGGGAGAGGATGTGTGTGAAAAATTCCATAAAATGTGGTTCTGTTTTAGACTCTGCTGTATGGAAACAACTTCAATGTTTTTTGCCTTCTTTTTTAATCCTTTCTGCAAGATGATGCTTTTAAAGGAAACAGGCTAAGTCCCAAATAGCATAAACCCTTCTCAGAGTCATGCTACTCAAGGTCTAACTTCTGAAAACTTACTGGCAAGTAGAGATGGAGATCAGCCTCAGCCTTGGTGTAAATCCACTATCCACTCTAGGGCTGCATTACAGCCGAAGTTATTCTCCAGAGAGATAGCTCTTTATTTTAAGATTAAAACAGTACTGAAGCAAAGTAGAAAGCAGAATCTAGTGAATAGCTTCATTCATTAGGGTGGAAAGTTTTGGTAGAGTGGACTGGACCTTGAGCTGTCACCACTGCTCTTTCTCCTTGGCCCTCTTGTCTTGGAGAGTCTATGGAAGAAAAGGTCGTTCCATACACACAACTAATTCCCCACTCTACATACCAGTGGCATTACCCATCTCTGGCCTCCCACACACTGTCATGTCCTTATCAGGACACTCACACACATGCTAACACCAGGACACTTTGGTAGCTTCACAAAAAAGCAAAGCTATTCTTATGAGTCAGGATCTGGTAACACTAAGTTCTAGAAAAAATGTGTACAGACTGATAAGCACACAGCTAAGGATAGTGTCTGCCTTCTGGGACTGACTGCCCCTGCCTTGAAGTCATCCAGAAGACAAGTTGAGAACATGGAGATCTCCGTGGGCTACTTTTACAGCGTTGGACATCCCTAGAGCTTTATAGAATAACTGAGTTGAAAGCGTTGAACCAAATCTCCCCAGTACATCTCCCACATGTTCCGTAAAACGCCTCCACATTAAGAGTTTCAAAGCTCTTTGTGAATGAGTTGACTCTTGCTTGTTCAAAAGGCCATTCGGCCATGTTTCCCATGCAGTGAAGCAAAATCAGATGTGCTCAACCACGTTTCCACTTCATCAGTCTTTTCTTCAGGTTTGCCATTCCATTTTTACTGCTCACCGTTTTATCTGTGTGCTTCAGCTGTTTGAGCAGTCAGCTTTGTGATGTACTCGGATTCAATCTGGTTTGCGTGTAGGAATTTTCAGGTAAAAACTGAATGCAAACTTGAAGGTTGGCTACAGAAATTTGGTTTAGGAAAATTAATTTTGTCTTGATAGAGCTGAGAACAAGGACAAGGAGGAATGCTGCTTCTGCACACTGTCTGATGGAGCAGAGAATTCCTGAGAATGGAAGCTCTCTGCAGAGGTTCACACAGAGAATGTGGTTTGGTCAGAGAAATAATATTCTTATAAAATCATTGCCTCTTGTGGGCTAAAAAATGAAAATACTGCATAAAGTCTCACCTCCTGGCTTTGTGCTTGTCAAGAACAGGATCTATTAGTCTTTTAAAAGAATAATATTAACACATGGTAGCCAAGGAGATTTATGTGAACTGGCGCATAATCAATGTTTCATGAAGGGTTGCTTTTTTTCCCACTTCATTTTTTAAAATTCTCAGAACTGCCATTAATAAACAAAATTTTACAGTTCCAAGTTTTCCTTGTCTTCTCATGCAGAGATGCTCCAGTTCTCTGGACATTTGCTTTCTTCCTTTTTGGATAATGATCTGTATCCCAGAAAAACTCCCAGAGCAGTAGTGTGCAAATGTTGGGAAGCCTTCTTTCCATCCCTAGAAAAATGGGCCGCTAGATCTCTTTTAATTTGCTGTCTTTAAAATCATTTGTCTGCATCCTCCAATTATTCTGGCAAATGTGAGACAAACTCCACTTTGACCAGCCCCAGCAGATAGCACACCCCAGTTGCCTCACAACTTGCATAGTCATTTGGTAAGTCAGTTATTTTATAACTGCCTTCGCCTAATTGCAGCTACGTAAATTGCAATATGAGGTGATGAGCAAGCTCTGACTTCAGTAGTTTTCAGTGATGACACTGAGGTCATGGGCTGGCTCTAATAGCCTTGTAACTGTACTTCACTGTGGGAGTGGAAATAGCTTGTACGTCACGATGCAATTTGGGTCTCCTGGCATTTCTCACACAGGGACAAATGCACACAGGTGCAGCCCTGGCACCAGGGCTGGTTCAATATCCTTCCATCTCAACGTACTTGCAGCTTGACCCCAGTGACTTACGGTAATTTGGAAAGCCACTCTGGGCTGGGGTTGTTTTACAATATTGAACTGACAGTTTTACTGCATGTGCGTAACTCCTAAAAGAAGCAGAAATCAGTTGTCAACCAGGCAAGAACCAGGTTTGTGACTGTTTTCTTTTGCACGTGCCTAATTTCCTTAAAATGTAGACCATGTTGTTGTCCATTTTTTTTTAAATTATTTTTTATAGGTAATTCTTGACCTTGACTCCAAGGAAAAGTATGTTTCTTCAAGAGAATGAAGGAATACCACCTATTCCTGGGGCACAATATATATTCCAAGGAAAACATTGCGCTGTAGATGCAAGAGTCTGTCCAGTTTGTCTGTCCAGAAGAAGCTGGTGTAGATACTTTCCCCACATATAATCTAGAGATATCTTCTGAACTGTTGGAATTAAAAGCAGGCATGACTACATCAGAAAAGCAGACTGCCCCTTCAGGTCTTTACATGCACTAACACTGGAAGAGAGACCAAGAATTCATTTATGTGCCTATATATATATATATAAGATATGTGCATGCAAATGTACATATATGTGATGTATGTGTTCTACATATGCCTGTGTGTTCTCTCTATATATACATGCATGTATGCATGCATACATGTGTATATGTGTGAATGGGAAAAGGGAAGAACAAGAGGAGCTCCAGAGTTTGTCCTCCATTAACCAGGTCATCTTTCAGACGAGAAAAAATGCTATGACCAAGCCAAGGCTTCTGCTCAGTGAGTTAATGCAAAGCCAGAAAACTGTGGCAGTAACTGCTGTCTGAGCACAACCAGAATTTGAACTACTCTGTATGTGTGCATTGCTGTACAATCCATTTCTAAATAAGCTGCATTTACGGTTTGGGTAATGCACTGAGGAAGGAGGTCATTTGCAGTCCTGAGGCTACAAACTATATCCTTTCCTTGAAACAATGGTAGGTCTCTGGGAGAAAAAAAATAAATAGAAAAGAAAAAAAAAAACAACACAACTGAAAATGCATTCATATTCTTTCAGTGCAGAAAGTTGTCACAAGATTTCTGAATGTGAATCACTCAATGGTGAAGGGTAATAAGAAAGAAAAAGGTTGGTAGGAAACTGGTAAACTGTTGTACATACTCAATTATTTTAAAAGATTAGACCACAAATGGGTAAATCCTAAGTAGGAAGTCATTTCATTTAATTGCTTGGAGGCAGCAGTTGCTTCTAGAGAAAACAGACTGAAATGATTCCCAATCTTTTCATTTTCAGCAGCTGAATCCATGTCTGGTCTCAGAGTGAGAAAATCCCACTGCTAACAGTGCACACCTCCACAGTGAATGACTGAAAGCTAGAACATTACAATCCTAAAAGCCTGTCTCCTTCATCAGCAGCAGATGTGCCATGGTCTTTCCTTGTTCCATGACCCCTGATCTAGATCTGCTACTGAGGCTGTGCCTAATGTGTCCTTCCCAAAGGGTCCTTTGCCTTGTTCAGAGAAGGATGGTTGGATGGCTTAGACCTGGATGCAACATGCTCATTTGGTCTGTGTCCTTCCTGACTAGTATCACTTTGTTGCATGGAGTCTTTCATGTTAGAAGACCGAGGAACTGAAGTATATGCCTGCACATGGAATGGAAGCAAAGTTATTGTTTTTTTCTTGAAGTGCCTGTTTTTCTCTCTTAGACTCTTCCTAAGCTGTTTCCCAGAGTCTCTGTAAGCCTTTAATCTTCGATCTTTGACACTTGTCAATGATCCTTTCATGAATGATCCTTTCATTTGATGTATTATATCTAGCACTTACCTCACTCCTCAGATTTAATCTTTGATAGTCTTCAATGGACATACTGAAAATATAATTATGTGATTCTTTTGATAGCCTTCTCCCAGTCCTTCACTTCTTTGCTTCTCTATCTTCTCTATCAGTCGTTTAATACTGGTGGTACTGTTTGTTAGTTACCTGCCCGAGTTACACACTGTAGCCTTCATGTGATTTAAGGGATTTAAAAATTTGCAAGTAGGTTGGTCAGAAAATAGCTGCCCTATCCCAAGTTTATTATTACATGCTTAAACAAATTGTCCCAAACAAGGAAGACAGAAATGAAAACTCCATCAGAGGACCTGAGAAGCTGCCAAGTCATGCCAAGTTCAACTCCCTGCCCACTGCCCAGATCCTGGGCTCATGAGGATGCATATGTAGCTGTTGAAAGAAGCTTTATGAGTTATATCATTGAAGATAACACGCAATGACACTGCAGACCCCTGGAAGAAAATCAGTTACCAAAGTGACAACTGTGGAGTCTGGAATCTCCCTCAATATACAGTTTTTAGGCATTTGTATTTCACCAGTAGAAAACAGAAACTGTCCTTTATGAAAAACACCTATTCTCATTTGCTAAAAATCAATTCTACTTGAAAGCAGTTTTGATGTAAAAGCCTTTACCAGCCCTACAAAAAGTAGCCCTCTAAAATGTTTTAATAAGACAGATAAGTGTAAACTCAACAGTGAGTACAATAGAAAGCAATAAATGGCCGTGCGTGGTCCAGGACTTTTGGTTGAGTTTGCAGATGTGAAGAATAGGCTAGTAGAGTCTGGAAAGGATGAAAGAAAGGAAGAGCAGAAAGGCATGGATTTGAAACATGTTTGTTTTTTTTTAAACCCTGAGTCAAACCAAGAGCGTAGGGATCTCAAGGCCAAATTCTTGATTGACACAAAAGCAGTGTAAGCCACATGTCAGACACGAGTAGATCAGAGAGTTGGCCTGGCTCTACTCTCCTCGCACTGATATGAAGCAGGAGTAACTGCACTGAGGCCAGTAAATAGGTTTTAGAAGAGTGTCAGAGCAGCGCCAGCAGATTTAAGATTGTTTAGGGGATAATGGGTCTTAGAGCAATTTCAGCTCTGGTAGCCTGCGTGAGATGGTAGTACGTGTCAAAAGGACAAAAGCAAGGGTGTATCAAGAAAGCAATTAACAGCAGGGAATAAAATAGGAGAGCCAGCTTTGCTCTGCACTCTCCTTTTGTCCCCGCTCTGGACAAATTACACTTGCCTTTTCCTTTCCAGAGGCCGCTCTGTTGACGTCCATAACATCAGCGGCGGTGCATGAACTTGTAACATCAGTAGTGGCGTAAGCAGTGTTTGGTTTGGCCCAAATTACAGGACATTAAAAAGCAAAGTGAAAAGGAAGGGCTGCTCTTTTTTTTAATGCAGTATTAATTGCTTTCTCCTCCCCAGTATGTACTGGAGTCCCTCTTGCAAAGCCCAGGATTAAATTTCATGTTCACAGTTGTCCTAAACCAAGATACTACCCTTCGCCTCTTATATTTTTTATTCTTGTTGGATATAACAAAGCATTTCAATCAGGCCAAGTCACTGAAGAGAGAAATGCCAAAGTAAATAGAAAAGTTTAAATTACTACAGCAAAGGGACCAAAATTTCAGCCAGGACCCGACTTATGGGGATTTCCAAGCTATTCTATAGGGCTCCACTATATAAATTTTCTAGATTTGACTCACCCATCAATTTTGATTATCCCACTGATTTATTTCTGATTACAGAGGTCATCTCTGTATTTAAAATGTCATTTATCTTGTCGGGAAGGTGACCAATGGGGTTTGTCAGAGACTCGGGCTGGTCTCCAGCTCTCTCTGCCTTGATGCTGCTGGCGGGGAGCCACCAGCCTCAGCCACACTGGGTGAATCGCTGGGTATCCCATAGGACCTCACCCCCAAACCACTACACTGGGCTGCAGCCCCTGCACTGCACCTCAGTAGGGTTTGCTTTTGCACGCAAACATTCATTATGTGCTGTAAAATAGACAGGGTTTCACTTATTTGTTGTCTCACATTTGAGGCAACAGGCTCATTATCAGAATGTGTTCATTACCCAAGCTAATAAATATTTTGAACATAAAGTATTAACATTAACTTAAACTCCCTTGGGTTTTTGGAAAGAGACCAAAAAATAAACACATCCGTTTCCTATTGTTGGTTTGCAGATATTTTAGGGCCCCCTCTTTATTTTTAACCTTGATTTTTTCCCTCTTAACCAAATGGTGGAAATCTGTTAGGAGTCAACAAGAAATCACAGGCAATGGCAGGGAAACCTCGACTTTTGGGAACTTTGCATCTAACTTTTCTCTTGTGGGAAAAATTGTAAACAAAAAAAAAACAAAAAACCCACAACTGGCTGCAAACAGGAGTATTTTAGAAAAAGATACATGCAAAGATCACACAAACAGTTCAAAATCTTAGTGTTTTCCAAAATGCCAACAATAAATAAGCCTAAAAACCTCGGGGGCAGAAATGTTTAGAAAATAGAATTCCCTCCAAATCAGGATAATAATAATGACTGGTTCTGGTGCTATTTCCTAGCTGCTTATGAGCACCTGCAGTTGTAGTGGCTCTGCTGGCCAGCTGAAAGCATTTGCCCTCAGTCAGATGAGGTCAGCACATCTCCAACCTACTGGTAGGGTAGAGGTAAAGCACCCCGCAAAATCCAGTAACTCACTGGATTGTCACGATCATGTGACAGAAAAATAGGAAAACCTGGACACCATCACCTGTGAACGTGGATGGGTGGAGGTCCCAGGCCTGATGCTGAGGAGCAACCATTCAGCTAGAGGAAAGCAACTGGGAGATGTATTGATGTGATCCCTATGTCCTGCGCTGAGAAGGCAGCAGAGCCTGCAGACTCTGACCTGGGGTGACTTGGCGTTCATCTCTTCCTTCTCTGGAGCAACATCCAGTGAAAAGCCAAACCCCCACATGACTGTGGAGGTGGCTCAAGACCTGCTTGAAAATGTCTTTAGAAAAGGCTTGACAAGTAACCAGCAGAATAAGGGTAATTTGTTCTGATAATTGGTTATGACCCAGTTTGCCCAGTTGCAAGCCCAGTTTGTGGGGTGGCAAGCTTGTTGCAGAGCTGGCTCTTTACTCTGCGTGACTAAAAAAGTGATTTTTCCTGCTTTTGAAAAGAATTGTACTTCACAACTATTTGAATAGATATTACTATTAAAAAGCTGTCTCTCTGACATAATGTGTGTTTCCTCCTTCCCTGTTTTCTCTACTAATCTGTATTTGCAACATAATAAGAGAGAGAGGGTTACTGGCAAGAACACCCTAGCAAAGCGTTAAGGGAACTAGTCCTGTTCGCAGCTCCCACTTTGTTTTAGAGAGGAGGTCCTGATCTCTGAGCCCAGCTTCCTCATCAGGATTTCTAACAGTCTCTCAGGACCTTCACCCCCAAAACAACTAAGGTTTTCAAGATCTTTTCCTGTTGCATAAGGAAAGCAGAGCCAATTTAGTCCTATTCACCTTTCCTGTAGGAAAGACCTATTTTCTAGCTACCAGCTCTTGTCTTGTATCATGAAATATCAGCTCTTTGGATCAAGAGGTACAAAGAACAGTGAGGATGATGGGAAACTGGACTGATTAACTCAATTTTGTATCATTGAAAAATTAGAATGCAGCGTCTATATCAATACAAGGAAACACTTCTTCATGCCTCTACTTACAACGTTAAACAGCGAGAGAGAAAAAGTGAGTAAGCAAGTGAGAGGGAGATTAACGAATACAATACACAGGAGCCTAAATTGAAACATCATTTTTCACAGAAATAAGGCTTTGGCAGGTCTCATGCTGTTTGTGATGTAGTGTCTCTAGCTGGTCCCAGTAAAAGTTGGCTGCAGTTTCTCAGAACCTGCTTTTTTGAGACTCACTGACTGCTTTTCTTCCCACAGATCTGATTAAGCTAATTGCACATATTCGTTAATTATAAGAAGGGAGGTCATTTATCTGCAGATAGCCTGAAAAAAAAAAAAAAAAAAAAGTTGTTGTTTTAAAATGGCTTTTTTTTTTTCCTTCATCCTGGCTTTTACTAAGGTGTTTGTCTTCTGCTGCCCCACTGTGCTAAGGCTGGGCACTCTGGCATATCGACAGACTGCTGGGAACTTGTGAGGATGCTTTATGGCATCCAGTCCCAGGGTTTTATATCTTGAGGAAAACATAGAGCTGGTGAGATCTCCTTCAGCCCCAGTCTGAGCTAAAGCACAACTGAACAAAGACTGCATATTGGTGCTTTTTGAATTCCTCCCCTTGAAACTTTTGCAAATGCCTCATACCAAAAACAAAATCATGCATGCTATCAAATCTGCTTTAAAGATCAGCTGCTGGATGTTTTGCAGAGTTGCTGAATGTAGCAATCCGAGATACATGTCAGCACCCAGGGTATAGCAAAAGAAAATGTGTTTCAGTTATTCCTCAACTTCCGCACTGCCAAAATATCAGTCTCAAGAAGGCTGTCAGGAACAGATTCTCCATGGCATTATCTTTCCTCATTCTCTAACCCAAGTAGTAAGGACATGCTGGGCATTCAGGGCAAAATTTCCCTTTCATCACTCAACCCAGTGAAGAATGTTCAAAAAAGGCAAGGAATTAATGTGTGGGGGTGAGATGGGCAAAGAGAAGGAAAGTCATTGGGATGAGGTTCAGGGAATTTCCTTGAGCTATGGACAACTCATCCAGATCTCTGCAATGTCTGGAACGTCCTCCATCCATTGCAAAACACAACAGATTTGAGGATCTGAACACAGGGGAGAAATCAGTACTGCCATGCACTAACTGGCATTATGCCTGCTGATAATGAACACCATGGATTATTTATTTAGAGTTCAAACCACTGTATTGTCCACCCCAGTAAGCTTTTGCTGCGGCAAGGTGCTCACATGACATTTTCCAGCTTGGGATGGAAGGCAGCGATGACTGTTTTGTAAGTTGTGTCTATCTTTCTGATTTGACATTTAGGGTTATCACTGGCCATTGCCCAGCAAATGACCGAGAACCAGGCTCAAAATCATTTAAAAGAGAAGCTGATCTGGACTGTCATAGTAGCTGCCCCTAATCCCACTCTCTGTTGGGCACCTATGGACTTCTGTAAAACGGCTTCCCCTTTCATCCTGGATCTGGTCCAGTGCCATGTTCCTACCTTTTCTGTGGGCTTTGTTCATTTCTCCGTATGTGCCTTCTGCAAGCACCAAAGGTGTCTTTTTAGTCTAATCGTCTGAAGTGGTGTCAATCAGCTACAAAATATGCTCTGTCATACAGGGTTTGACAAAAAAGCAAAGAAATTATGTCTGCCAGCAGTCCCTGACTGCTTCTGCATCTGGGTTCTTCCCAGTGCCATGGGAGCTGGGAAGTCCACACACTGGCTTCTGGGATTAAAGCACAGAGGTTCACCCAGCATTTGGTAAAGGCCCATCTGTCTGTGAGAGTATGTGGAGTGGGGGTTATGGGATGGGCCTGGCCATAGCCTCTGCTGTATTCCCTATGTGTGGTCAGAGGATGCTCCCATGCAGGTAGAGCATCACTGACCATCTGTACACCGTCCACAACTCACCCCAAATATCCATGTCCATGGCTGTTAGGCTGAGATACAATGCAAGCTTATAGCTACAGTCACATTTTCTCCCATACAACTTTTCTCAAGTGTTTGGGGTGGTGAAGTGATGCTGGCATTTCTCTGCTGGAGTGCCAGGCACAGACCCCTCAGGAGCATCCCATTGGGATGCAGACATGGCAGCAGAGGCTGTGTCTCCCAGCGGGCAGGGAAGAGGTTAACCATGGAGCTGCGCAGAAAAGGCCAATGGGCAGAAGGCGTTATGGTCTCGTGTCTGGATGTTTTAGTGCAGAGCTGTCGTGAAGCCTCACAGAGCTGAGCGGTCCCTCGGTGGTTCCTATAGCTTTAAAGTGCCCGGGATGATTTAGTGGAGGGGAGGGATTCCTGATCAGAGAAGTGCCTTTTATTTTTTTTTTCTTTCCCCCTTTTTTTTTTTTTCAACATGTCGCTGATCAAAGCGGTGCCAGGGAGGCTAGGAAGAGCAGGATCCTAATGGATCAGCTGTGTAAAACATGTCAGCAGACAAGCCCCAGTTCTCAATATGTCTCTCAGGGAACAGCTCACAGATTAGAAAGAAAACACACACGCACACACACACATGCACGAACCCTCTTGCTGACCTTGTGTCAAGGAGTTAAGTGTTATTTGGAAGTGATTGCAATCGGCTTTTTTTCTCCTTATAAAACAAAAAAATACGCTTCCCAAATATTCAACAATAATTCAAGAAGCAATGGAAAGATTTACACAAGTTAGACAATGACCTATCGGAGACAAATGAAAAACTGAGTAGAAAAGGGCAGTGGACTCTATTGTTAACTAAATGAATCATAGCCCCCACTTACAGACAAGCTTCTCTCCCTATACCCCTACAACCATGGCGTATCTTGATGTTCATGACCCTGCCACTGTTTCATTCTGCACAACTTTTGGCAAGGTGCAGAAAAAAGACTTCTGATTTCCTTTAGTAGGCAACCCATTGAAAGGCAACATCATGTTTTAGAGGATGAGAAGAAATTCGGAAATTTATGTTAACAGGAGAAAGAAAGAAGTACTTTTGAAGTTTGGGACAGTAAATAAACTAGCAATTATATACACACATGAAAGGTGGTTTTACAGAAATGCTGGTGTTAAGATTGCCTTGATAGTGCTAATTAATGCCTTGTTTAAAATGCGCTGCAGAGTTCTTCAGGAATTGCATAGGAAATGCAATGTTCCTAATTCTGTAATTTTTTTCCATGTAGCCCAAGTAAAAACGTTATGTGCGTCAGCAAGATGAGCAGCACAAATCAGAAGTGCTTGCAGCAGTTTCCATATGCTGATGGGTCCCCTTCTCCAGTACCCAGCTCGCATGGTGGCAATGAAAAGCAAAATCTTCTCTTCCATTGCAAAGACACAAAAGCAAAAGCTTGTCTCCAGCTTCGGGTGGTCGTGTCGTTATGGTCCTCCTGCTGCAAATGTGTACTCCCTACGGACTGAGTCAAAGTGCTTGCAGAAACCAGCTCCTATGTGCATGGGCCAACTGCTTGGTGCAAACGTTGTGTGTTGGCCTGCACAGACAGGTGACGTCTTCCCATAGTGAAAGCATCAGACAAATGAGAGTCTTTCATCACCATCTTTTCCCCTTCTTCCTCTATGGGAATTCTCCATGCAGATAAACACCACTGAATTTGCCATCTTTAGAGAAAGAAACCCTCAAAAGATATTACGGCTGCTCCAAGACCCCCTGCACCATGTTCCCATTGCAACTAGAGCTGAGGAACAAGGCTGATGTTTCTGCTGGCCAGCAATGAGGAGAGGTAGTTATTTGATAAAGTAGCTGAAAACCCGGGGTTACATAAACAAAGAAAGAGTTCACTTCACACAAACATCAGCATTTCCACTCAAATAAATCTGTAATGGCAGCTTTCATCTCAGGCTAAAAGGGAAAAAAAGCCAACAACCCAAAACAGCCAGTAGAAATATACACTGGCATGTAATTATTTGCTTCATATTTTGTACACATTAAGTATAGCAAGATTACTTACGAGGTGTATATTGATTTACGTTTATGCCTTTCAGTGTATCTCATATCTGCATGCAGTTTATAGGTTTCTTTTTTACAGTTTTCCTGTAATTCAGTGTACTTTGATGAGTTATGAACTTGGTTTATCTGTGGAATGTTCTCTAAGCAGCGCCGGGAGGAGTGCGAGAGGCAGAAATCCTCCCTGCCCCGCCAGGCTGGGGCAGCCCTGGAATGGCTGCGCTATGTGCCACGCGCCATATGTCAGCCCTTGAGGACAGGGGGGATGGAGGGGATCGCCATGGGGTCTGCCCAGCCTGCGAGGTGCAAAAGGCAATCTGTATGTATGCACATCGATCCTGATTTAAAGGCTCGTGGGTTGCTGTGCTGCACTGGGCCTATGGGTCCCAGTGGACACAGCTGCAGCAGGCCAAGCAGCAGCAGGGAGGACCAATAGCATCTTGGACTGCATTTTGGGAAAGCACTGACAGCAGGTGAAGAGAGGTGACCTTTTCCCTTTACTCAGCACTGGTGTGGCCACATCTGGAGTACTGGGTCCAGTTCTGGGCCTCCCAGTACAAAAGAGATATGGATGTACTGGAGAGAGTCCAACAGAGGGTCGTGACAGTGGAAATGGGACTGAAGCTGGTATCCTATGAGGGGAGTCTGGCCATAATCAATACGTACAAATACCTGAAGGAAGGGAGCAAAGAGGACAGAATCAGGCTCTTTTCAGAGGCTCCCGGTGTCAGGACAAGAGGCAATGGGCACAGCTGGGGCACAGCAGGCTCCCTCTGACCCTCAGGAAGCATTTTTTACTACACAGATTATGGAGCACTGGCACAGGTTGCGCAGAGGATGTGGGGTATCCTCCTTGGGGACCTTCAGAAGCTGGATATGGGCTTGGACACCCTGCTCTGGGTGGCCCTGTTGGAGTGGGAGTGGGTCCGAGGGACACTGAGAGCCCCTGTTCACCTGTAATTCTATGATTCTGGGCTGAGTTTTCACTCCAAGGTGTGTTCTCAAATATCCTATTCATCCTACTCTGAGAAGTTCAGGGACAGCAAAGGTGAGCAGCCACTGCTGCAGTTGTTCCTCTCTGTGGGTTTGCTTTAGTTACCTGCAGAAAAGATCAAGAGATCTCAAGTGGGTTTCCACCTGGAAAGTGGGTGGGTTTTTCACCCTGCCAGACACTGAGGACTGCCTGCAGCTCAAGGCAGTGATCCATTAAATATATTTTGCACCTGCCTTTCATGTTGCTGCTCCACTCTTGGATATTTGACCCTTGCACTGAAGACGAGATGAAATCCTATTAAAATGGTATATATTTTTTTCCCAACAGAATAAGTTTTGCCATGATTTAGATAATCACTTTTTGGTGTAATAATTGGCACCGTGTGCTACAGGTGAACAATGATGTACTCTAACAGTAACAGGAGGCCAATTCACCAATCACTAATCTCTATTTAAAATGTAGCTTTATCACCACAGCAAACACATTGACTATAAGTGATCACCATGAACAAATAAGGAGAAGACAGATGCTCCCCATTTCATCTCTCTCTCCAGTCCTGTTTACAGTTTAACCAGTTTGCCACTTGATCTTCAACCTCTGAATAACAATGCTAACCTCAGTATTTCCTACTTAGCTAAAAATAAAGCCACACATCTTTCTAGTGCATATGATATTAACGGTTGCTCTATGCATCCAGATAAAGCATTGCTTGCTCAAAGCACTTTGCCAAAGCCTCATTCATTTATCAAGTGGCTGGATGGATTCATTGCTGTAGATAAATGCAGCATGATGGCCCTTCTTCCAAGTAGGAGCTAGCAGGAGGCAAGTCCCAGAAGTTCTGCATACTTGGTCTGGCCAAGATGGTTAGAGTGAAGTTTTGCTGTGAGGACAGACTTTGATCAAGGTGGCACAAGGGACCTTCAGGCCATGGCCATAGAGGCACTGCCTCCCCCAGCCCTCACAGCAATCCCTCTACCTCCAGCCTTTCCTTTTTGTGGCCGCTCTGTGGATTTCAGCAGAGGCAGCGGTGATTTACAGCAGCCTGTGTGAGAAGAGAGCAAGGATACACATCTGCAAATAAAGCCTAATGAGATGTTAAGATTAAGAAAAGCCAGGAAATGCCAGAAGTTGAGGCTGCAACGTCATCATTCGTTCTCGTGCAGCTGGACAGAGGGGGCCCAGGGGGCTTCTGGCCAGCCTAGCGCCATGGCATGAGAAGCAGGCTGTGTGCACAACCAATTGCTTCCCTGCAACTGAAGGAATTACCCCTGCACTGGGCAAAATTATACCTCTCATGGGACCAGGCTCTGCTGGGGAAGCGGAGGTTGTGCATCACCCCAGAGGCAATGTCAGGAAGTCATATGATGGCCAATGACAGCAGGATGCTGTAAACAGCAGTGCTTGCCTCATCTTCAAAAGGGCATAATCAAAGTCTCAGTGATTATGATCCCTATCATTGCAAAACTGCAACAGCAACCAAATTATCATTGCTTTCAGCATGTGATCCTCTGGGGTTGGGGGTTAGAAGAAAGACATGGTCTATCAGCCATCATGTTAATTGCAGCAAAGAAAGAAAACACTTGCTGTGTGCCACAGATGGTAGAGGTAGACAAGGCTGCATTACTTAGTGGCATGATTTTGGAGCTGGAAGAACTGAAGGTGATGAGTGGAGATGAGTGGTGGTGACTACCAGAAAAAGAGCTCCTTTAATTCCTACTCCCATGCCTTAGGAGTGCTTGGATGTTGGGATTTACAGCACATCACTTTATGTGACTGGTGCAAATACAGCACATGTGCCTTTGGCTTGAGATCCTACACAAATACATAGTGGCAGCCGCCTTGTGACGTCCAGCCTTGGTGGATGGTCTCCCTGACAAATGGTGGGGCCCATGTAAACGCACAGCCCCAAAACGTAACCTCCTTCTCCTCTGGTTCCACATAGTCTCTTGGAGAAGAAATATTGCATCCTACAAGACCTTCCCCTGACTTTCTGTTAACCTGTCACCCAAGCTTGGTTGAAGACCAACATCATGTCCAAGAAGAGAAATAGCTACGCAGCCAGAGGGGTGTCTGTTCTCCTCCTCTGTGAAGAACTGCCTGGAAATATTTGACTTAACCTGACCCACAAATGAAAAGATCATCCTGAAAACAAAAGCTGGAACTAAAAATACGCAATCCCATTGAAGTGTAGTTTTTTTCCCATGCAGGAGATCTTATTTTCATCCTGAGCTGTTGCTTTTGAGGTTGGGTTAGTTCATTCATGTAGATAGGAACAGGAGTACATGCACGTAATTAACTTACCCCCATTTTTTTTGGTAGATAAACAAAAATGGCAGCTGAAGGATATGTGTAAGAATATTTCTGTTGGCAGACATTACTGACGCATTGCAGAGCTGGATACTTTACAATGTTTGCTCAAACCAGCTCAGCCCCTGGTGTGAAATGACTCCATTCCAACTGTGACAGACCTGTGTCAATGAGTCCCCGCTGAGGAAGTGCTAGTTTGAGGCAGGTTTGGGGTACCAGGGACAACCCTCCTAATACCTGAAATATCTGCTCTAGGTTATCTAACACACATTTCTGGGCTATGTGTGCGCCTTTCCTACCTACATTTGATCAACAGTATGCTGGTAACTAAAACTCCCATGAAAGCATCATGCGAATTGGGTACAGGGGGACGAGGGACATCTCGAAGGATTTTTGTTAATAGCTACACAAAGCTGTAAGGCTAAAATTATACTGATGCCTTTTTATTGACGTTGGTACAAGCATAGCATGTGCCTTTTGGATAAGTTGGTCCCCACTCCCAGAAAATGTTGGGACAGCACAGAGAGAATGGAAGACTGAAACTGTGTTAAAATATGTCTCAAATGGACATAGCGGGATTGTGGAAGCTAGCAGGGGTGCAAAAAGAAACAAGATCATAACAGGTTAATTTAGTATTGCAGTATATCGAAATCTGACACTGCTCTTGTCTTATGATGTAAGTAACTTAACATTAATTAAGAAGAATTATCTTAGCAGGATGGTCAAAGCAGAATCAAGCCAGCATAAGTTATCTGACCACTCACCAAGAAATGCAGTTAGTAGTAGGAAAGGTAAACCCATAGGAGTGGCTGTGAAAGGTCGTACAGCCCCCTTTTGCTCTTGGTTTGAGGATGGGTCTGGAGTTTTGTGCCAGTCTGGGGCCCGCTCGCTGCACACATGGGGCCAGTGACCATCATGGGCTTTCCAAGTGAGATGTTCGGCTAACTCTGTGCAAGTCTTAGGTACCACATAGGACCAGACTGGAGGAGAAAGGAACATGGTGTTTCCAGAGATGCTGAGGACAAACCTTTAGAAAGGCTTTCTCACATGAGTTATTCATGTCCAGCTACGTGACCAGACCTTGTTTGGATGAGACTTTGCGGACTACCATGACATTTAAGAGCTGCCTTTAGTGTGACACTGTATCTTCCCCCTGTTTGGCTCAGCCTTTAAATACTAATATTCCTCCTTGCACAGCCTTCATCCTGCTTCTGCCTGAGCTTTATTTGCCATGGATTCGTCCAGCTCTGAGGATTTGAAGAAAGCTGTCCTTGCAGCTCAGGCCCTCATTGCTTTAGAACTAAAGACACATGGATCAGTGATCTTCCGGGTCTACCCACTAAATGACTCAAAGTTTCCTTCTGAAAGACAGGTTCTAATATTAAGCTTTGATCTAGATTTTTTAATCTTTGTATGTATGTTTGTTTATTTGTAAAGCAATGTGAGATCTGAAAGAAATAGACAGTGTGAGAGTCTTTCTGTGCATACCCACCACACACATGCTCTAGAGAACATAGTTGTGATGGGTTGAAAGTTGGCCTCAATGGTCTTAGGGGTCTTTTCTAACCTTAATGATTCTATAATATAATATATAATAATATAATTATAATATAATATAATATAGTACACATATGTACTTCTCTTGCACATACACACTGGAGAAAGGTTCAATAGCTCAGTCCAGTGTTTAAAGTGTCTTGTCCTTTGAAGGCTTTTAAATAAAATTTGTTGTGTGGATGTGTGTGGTGTTTTGTTTTTTTCTTTACCCCACTTCTTAGGAAGGAAAGCAAATGTTTCTGGCACTTCAGTGCTGGATTGCTCACATATTTGCTCGAGGAAAAAAATTATAAAAGATGTTTGGCATAGTTTTCATTCAAAAAGGAATCCAGTGCCAGATCCAAGCATTGAAAACAAATGTGTGGATTAACTGTCATTTACTCCAGGATCATGGGAACCACTGCCTGGTTTCCCCAATGGGCGGCCGCTGGCTGGCTCCCTGTGGATGGGAGCGCGGGTTTGGCTGCCCCATTGCAGCCTGAACATCGTGCTGCTTGTCTGAGTGACAGCTGAGTGCTGGTGTCAGTGCATCACAGCTCTGCAGCGGCAGTCCTGCCATCGGGCTGCCACAGGCATCCCGCGGCGGTGAGAAACCCTCCCCTCAACCTGTGTTTAGCAGAGGATGTGTATCTGCACTAATCTGAAGGGCTCAAGCCAGCCTGCCATGCTGAGTGTTCATCCTGGATGGGATATAGTCCAGTTTCCAAAGGGTTTGGGAGAAGAAGCTCAGCAGAGAGGAAAAAAATGGGAAAAAAAAAAAACCCAACCCACAAAAACAAAAACAGAGTCAGTGACTCCAGAAAGCAGCTCTTAGTCTGTCTGTTCCAGTCTGAAATAAAATCATCCCTCTTAATTCCCAGCGCATATTGTTCCTACCAAAAAGCAAAACCTTCGGAGGAAATCACATCAGTGAAGAGAAAGCCAGCTCCTTTGTACTATTTTTCAACCCTGCCTTGGGAGCCAATAATCTGTCATCCCTTGAATAAACAAGCACCTTATCATATCACAAACATTTATTTAACCCTTTTCTCCTGAGCTTTTACCAGCCAAGCAAAGTGGCTGGGGGTGGAGGGGTAGCCCTATCCCTAGACTACTCTGGCAGAAAGGACAAATTTCCTGTGTATTACACCCAATCTGTAAAGTGTCAGGCCGCCCTTCTTCAGCCTCTATGAAATGCAGCAGCTTGAATCCCTGCATTTCACATTGCGCGTTCGCATTCTCCTGCCCCCCGCCGCACCCCCGGTACATTAACGCCTGCCTCCCTGGAGACGTCCCCTTGATTCCAGCCGAAGGTCCACCCGAATGGAGCCAGATTTAATTTCTGGGAGGTTGGGGGTGGTGGCAAGGAAGAGTGTTTACATTTCTTCTTTTAACAGGAGGCCGTGATGAACAGAGCTTTTGATTCCAAGTTGCAGAGATCTTTTTTTTTTTTTTTTTTTTTTAAGATATTCTTTGACTCTGACATCATCAGCAAATGGAATCAGCAAAGTATGTACATTTCCTCAGCTCCCACAATATCCATGTTCTCTCAGTGGATGTTTCTTGTTTTTCTTTTCCAGTGTTGCTCCCACACAATGAGGCCAATTTTTGTTCAGGACAAAAGAAAATATAAACAGAGCATGGATTTGGAATATGAGCAAGGCCTCCGAGCCTGAAGAAATCTTTGGCCGTGGGGACAGGCCGTGCTATGCTCACCATCTGCCAACAGCGTTGGGCTGACCAAGCACCAGCCAGTATCTCTGGTTGCTTTGCTTTTGCCTCCAGAAGGCTGATGGCTTAGACTCGTGGTATGAATTAAATTCTTGATTTAGACTCCTTGGAGTCGCTAAGCACCTGAAGTGCTTGCCTTGCAGGTGAGGCCAGGAGACAGGCTGCTCTGAGCAGGTGCACAGGCAAATCCTCAAGGTGGTAGGATACAACAAATACTGAGCTCACCAGCCAAAGTCTCAGAGAGCAGCCCCATGCAAAAGAGAGAGTTGTTATCAGACAGCCATACTGGTCTTCTGATAGGGCTTGGTGTGTAAACCTCTTAGACACTCTCCCAGGCACCAGGGCACACGTGCTGTCATGGAGAGGCTTTGTGGCAGCAAGTCACCCAGGTCTGCACACATGAATGTGTGCACTGGGCTGTGACAAGCTGATTTATTCCAGAAGAGTTGATTTATTATGGGTGATATAAACCAACTGCAGTAAGGGCCTCCTATCTCCAAGCTCACTGACTGCAGCTCAGAAGCTGCTGGTAAATGCCCCGTGAAACATTTATTTAGATAAAACAATGTTAAGCCGTCAGCAGATGAACTTCATTTGTGTCCTCTGGCTTGCCAAACTTTGTACTGAGCTACTGAGATGCAAGTTGTCCTGCTAAAAGTCTACAGACAAATTCTGCCTCCTCTGAAACTGCTCGGACTTTGGTCCATTTGGTCTGCTCTGGGTTTTCGCATTGGCACAACAGCCAAAGAGATCAATAGGCTGTGATGAGAACTGACCCAAGGAAAAGAGAATAAATGAAAGCAGTCAGCAATCAAACTTTCAAAGGCTGTTTTTATTAACGATATTAAAATGTTGTCTCTTAGTTTTTTGCCTTTACTTAATGACTAGCATAGAAATAACCCCATTTGCAACTTTTCTGCCTGAACTTTTTTGATACAGATGAAATCACTTGGAATAAGTCAGGTGTCTGCCCACCAAAGCCAGGGGCCCCAAGGCTGTGCTCGGTGGCGATGGCACCAGGGCTGTATGCACAGCCAGTATTGCTTCCGAGTCACCCAGCCTGAATCTGAGACTGGAAATACAAGACTGGAGAAGAAAAAATGATCCCATGATGTAAGGAGGTGACACCACAAAGCAGCTCTAAAGAAAGAGACTGATGAGGCAGAAGTAAAGGATCTGGGCCTGGAGAAGCAGCGACAGCCAAGAGGTGCAGAAGTGCTGAGTGCAGCTTGTGAAGGCCAGGCTTTGCTCAATGAAAGCTGGCTATTTAAATGTGCCTTTGTCAGCCCTCAGAGCTCCAGAGCAGCTTGTGATTGCTAAGTCCTGCAGTACAAACAGCCCCAGAGTCAAATTTACCCTCAACAAAACACGAATTAATTTAACATTATTCTCCTAGCAATTAAGTCAGCACTTATCAGAACCTGAAGAAGCACATTTGCTTCTTTTGCCGTCATTCCCTACCTGCAGTGAGGAGAAGACAGAGAAAGGGTTTTGACGCTGTGCACAGTGCTAGAAGGAGGGTACAGGCAGTCTTGATGGGGGCTGCAGCAGATCCCCAGCACGCATAGCACAGAGCTATAGAGTATGGCTCTCTGTAACCATAGGGAGAAAGGATAAATGGATTATTTCGGAGTGATGTGCATTGAGAACTCATGCCACTGGGGAATGCGGCCAGGCTATTTTTAATGTACTGCTTCATTTTGCACCTGCTACCATTACAGGGTTGTTTTTGTTTCCATTACAGTCACTTGTCTTGCAGAGTTTATAACTCCTATGAAACATGCAGTTGTGGGCTGGATTTTCCTCCACAGCTCAGGAGCAAAGATTTTTCTCGTCACAAAACAAAAAAGGTGAGCATGGCAGCTCAAGCTGCCTTTTGAATAGTTTAATAGGGTTTTCATAATTGTGATTCCTAAACAGCAGTTTAACATCGCTTCCTTTATTCATTCTGAAATGGAGCAACATAGGGTACAAGGACCTGTCCCTAAGGAGCTTGCAAAACCAAAACTGAATGGAGAGTCATTCTCAAGTACTTAATCAGCCGCAATATTGCAATAAAGTGATGAAATAAGAGATAAGGAGTCTTGGCCCTTTTTCCCGCTCTCCCCACGTGGAGGCCAAGTGGAGCTTAGCATCTCTGAGAGCTCAGGCTGGTGCCTGGCGTGGAGCCGCACTGCCAGTATTGCATGCCCCCAAACACCACTCCAGCATGAAACTCCACTTCAGTAGGGTGCTGGCGTCCTCCAGGGAAGGTGATTTAGAATCACCCCTGCCTGGCGTCCACCATCTCCTCTGGAAAACACCAGGCCTAGGCTCTGTAGGTCACATTCTATGGAGAGCCTCACAGCCTTATCCAGGCAACAGCCCCACTCAGAACCTTTTCACCCTCTCACATCTGAACTCTCATTGGGGTGGTTTTGCAGTCAGGATACGAATGTGAACAGTCCCTAGGGAATCTCCATGCCCCTCATCTTATTGTCTGAAACCAGGGAGCAGGGTGGCTGTTCAGAGTGTCTCCTCAGCCCAGCACTGCTACCAGCTTCCCACAGAGTGGAATCGAACCCAGATCACAAGGAAAACAAGCTATGGGTGTGAGCTTTGCCTTGTGTGGCCCAAGATAAGTCAGAAATAATGGTGCAAATTCTCAGTGCCAAGTATATATTCAAGGGGACTGGCCCCCTGTCTTCATAAATCAAGGCAAATCCCTAAATCAAAACCACTCTGAATTCAAACCATGGGATTGGGTTTTTCATCCAGATTCATTTGGACAATAAAAATGCACCACTTTCCCCCTGAATATCAATTCAATTAATTTGGACTCACAGACCAAATGATGCTTGACAGCCCTTGCATACTCTCTCCTTCGCTTTCTGCAAATTCCTAGCCATGGACTTTGCCAGCAGCCATCCCGCCTGGAGCAGCACTTCCAGTGCTTAACCTATCTATTTGCAACAACTTCTGTCAGAAAAGCACAATTAATTATGCTGCTGATTGCACGTTTGCACAGATTTGGAGTTTGTAAGTGTTTCATCCAGATCAGTTTGTAAGTGTTTCATCCAGTTAAGCTAAGTGGATGCTGCAGAGGCAAGCCAAGGGGCTGCAGGCTCTGCTTCTACTACATCCTAGTAAGGGAATCCTCACACTGCAGCGGTCCCACTGGGAGGATCGGGCTCGGGCCACCGAGTCCTTCTTATCGCGGCTGCCTGCCAAATTCTTCCAAGGAATAAGTGTCACTTTGTGGTACCTCTATTTTCCTTCCCAATAAAATAATAATTTGGCAGTGCCTGAGATGATGATAGTAAATCAGTGTAAAACAGTAGAGGACACCACTAAATTCAACCTATTTATCATGCAACTTCACTTAGCTATGCTAGCTGCAAGAGGACATAGGCTACTGTACTCCTAGTTTAGTTCAGAAGGTGAGCGAGGCTTTCAAGAACAAAGGCAGGGAACCATCTCTCCACTGGAGCAAGGATTGCTGGGGGCTTGTGTACCACTGTGGCCATGGCCTGGACTGGATGCAGAATGCAAGGCAAAAAGTCAGTATCCCCCCTACTCCTTCCAGCAGAACTACACACTTTATTGCACCCTGCCATGACATGTTGTCCACCATCCCAAGGCACTCTGAGCTTCTCAGACTTTCAGGTATAGCTCAGTACGTAGGCCAGACTGTTCTGCTCATGGATTATTCCAAAAGTGTACAGCAGATTGACACAAGCAGATGTCTGTGCTACAGAAAGATCATGAGAAGGAATATCCCCACAGATCTTGCTCTCCGTCTCGTTTAGGTCCTGCATGGATTGCCCTTGTCCCCACTACAGTACTGTGGCACTGGGATGAAGATCCCTGAAAGTAAGGCCTGCAGTCTAAATAATATGTGCAAATCAGTTACAGTTTACAGTGTAAGATAGCAAGATTTTCCTTGAATTTTGGGTGAAAATTTTAATACAAATCCCCCCATTCTGCTTTTCCCACTATATCATGGTGCTTTTCAAAGAGAGAGCAAACAGGCTTTCTTGAGAACAAACCACAGACTTCAAATCTGCCCTCTGTTTTCATGAAAAAAAAAAAAAAAAGGGTTTCAGAAGGATAATCATATTCGGAAATGATGTGACTAAATGTTATCAGGCTGTCATGGTGATTGCAGTCTTTTAAAAAATGTCTGCATTGTGGTTCACTAATGATAGCTATATTAACTAAACTAAACACCATTCGTCTGTTCAAGTATTTTTCATATGCGCTACTGAATTACATGTCTCTTGGTTTTTTAATTTTTTTTCTTTTTTTTTCTTTTTTTCTTTTTTTTTTTTTTTTTTCTGTTGGAATACTATTCTTTGTCTTATAAACACTGGAAATGAATTCAAGCAATAAGCAAGAGCAGAGATAACTTTGTCACCTTTGCTATATTTCATATCTCTGTGTCCAGCTGAGTCTCACATTAACTCGTCTGCAAAAGTAGATATTGAGCATCATGCTGCCAGCAAAGTTACTTGCTTAAAGTAGAACTTCAAACCCACAGTTTCTGGCACTTATTGTTTTTTCAGTCTCAACTCAAGTGCAGCTCCCACCAGAAATCTTACTGATGTTAGTGTTCACATTTGTGTGACTTGCAGAAGTTGAGCTGCACTGCTGATGTAGTGTACATGTTGAGTTGCTTCTGACTACCTTACTAGCTCAAGCTTCTGAAATTCCTCTTCCCAGGCCCCTAAGGCCCATGAGGGATTTGAGAGAGCTTTACCTATCCTAAATGGGCACAGAAATGAAAGCACCTTTGGCACACAAGTACATATCAAGGCATGGACTCCATTTCAGAAACCCTTTGGACATGGCGCTCTAAGAGACTAACTCCACACAACATGACACAAGGATTTCAGAGCAGCAGTGAGGTCACGTTGAAGAGAAGAAGACATCTGAAGATGACCTGAAAGGGCAAGACAAAAACTTTGACCACCTAGATATTCCTTGAATCTGGAACTGTACATTCACAGATTCAGGCACCTTCAGAGCCCTTGGAGCACTCTCCAAACCCTATGCTGACAGTGTAAGTAGCTCCAAATGATGCAGAGGATAAGCTCTGTCCAAAGATGCATGAATCATAAATTACAAGTTTGCAAAATAATTTCAGGTGGTTTTCTGTTTTGTTGTTGTTGTTGTTTGTGAAACGTAGGCTGTGCTTATGTTCCTGATTCTTTGGACACGAGATAACATCTTTCCCGTAGACTATTACTCTACGCTCTGAAATCTGCAGGAACTCTGTGATTTCATCCACGTCTCCTTGCAGAGCAATTAGGCTGGTGGAGGATGAGAGGGCTAAAAGTACATGGGTCAGATGTTCTTTGTTCTCTTGGGGACAGATGACATTATCATACACATTTAGCCACCACACTATACACCCTTCCTCTGCTGTTCACAGCAGCCTCCCACTGGCATCCCATTCGTTATTCAAGCTTGCTAAAGGAAGACGTTAACGGGCACGTAATGATCAGAAGTTGAATCAGTTCAGCCTTCCCAGGCATTCTGCAACTTTTGTTTAATAGAGTTATTTAATATCATGACTCATTCACTTTATTGTTGTTCAGTGAGTAATATTTTGTGGTTACACGTGTTTTCTTTTTGCTACGTGTGTAACTTCATAACATTTTTGAACACAGAATCTGCTTTTCTTCAGCTTTGCTCAACTTAGAATTCAAATACATGAACCCTGCTATTGAAAACTCATCATTAATTAACGATGCTTAACTGCTCTCAGCCTACATTTTGTGTATCGAAAGAACTCTCCCCCTCCTGCTGTGTTCCCCCTCTCTTCCTGCTCACTATATATATAAGGAGGGCTATATTTAGTGGGAGATTTAGGTTGATCTGCAATTCTCACTGCAAATTCCTTTCCATCAGCAGCTCCAGCCAGAAGGTCTGAATAAGAGAAAGGTCTGCAATTCAAGCAGCACACCAAAGAGGCTTCCTGTTTTCCTGGATTTTTCAGGTTTGCTACTGTGTGCGCAGAGCAGCTGGTACTAGACTCTGCAGACTGAGTGGCTGCTAACTCATCCGTGTTCTGGCTCTGGCATCAGACTCCGGTGCAAAACATTGTCTGGTTGATGGTCCTTCTAGAAATATAGGCAGCGAAAGCAAGAAAAGCATATCTGATCTTGAAATATTTCCAGAGCAGAGTGTCAGAGAGGATAATGCTGACAGGACTGGCAATCTCTCAGAGAAGGAGAATGAAGTAAAGGAGAGCAGTCTGTAAATCATTGCTGAGGAAAATACGGTGTGGAGTGAGCTCTGTACTCAGATCCCTGCTTCCAGTGCGGGCATGAAAAAGAGAAAGAAAAACATTATAGATGTGTGCTAGGTTTCCTAAGCTTTCCTGGTCCACAATGCTTGCTTGCCCTTCTGGCCTCATTTATGCCCAACACTGAAAGCACTTGCCCAAGGAAAAAAAAAAAACAGTGAGGCACAGCCTTTGCTTCTTGCAGGAGCTGCCCAGCAGAACCAATGTGTTGCCTGTTCCCAAAGGGAAGTCCTGTCTGGGAGGAGAGCCTTGCTTGGGGTATTGGAGACCAGGTTTCAATCACTGCTAACCACAGACATCCTGGGCAGAGCCTGACACCTGTAAAGAGCAAGGCTTTTATTCACCCACCTCTCAGGCATGTTGATAGGGTGAATATTTTAAAGCCCATGAGATGCTCAAATGTGAAGGTTCTGGGAAGCACACAGTGCTGGAGATTAGGTGGTTTGCTCTTTATTCCTCACTGGACTCTAGGATTTCCATTTTGCTAACTACCGTACTACATTTCATATTCATGTTTTACCTACTACCGAACTGCCTTAGAATAGCAGTCTGCATGCTTTCAGTCTCAGCTGCATTTTAACACTTAAACATTTGTTAAAATGAAGTCAAACACTTGCCTACCTAATTTGGATGATGTCAGTGTATGTGTAAAATGAACATGATAAGGACTGTACTATGGAGTATATCTAGTAGTTGATTTTTTTGCCAACCAAGAGAAACAAGATGACTGTATAAGAACGCTTTCCCTAAAAGAATCATGCCTGAGATTAGCTAAGATTAGCTGCACTTGCTAGGCTTCAAAACCTTGCATTGTGATATGACATTTATGTCAGTAGCTGTAATAATTGTTGCAAGCCTGTAGGAATGCCAGACAGTGTTGACTGTGTATTTCACAGATTTCAGTAAGATAAGAAGCATGCTATAGATTTATATTTTTTTCTTCAGCTGACCTGAAGGGACCACTTTAATAGCTTAAAGCATTGAAGGCACCTGAAGAGCCTTTGATATGATGGTTGTAATGTACTTTTTATTTTTACAGCATGAGCTGATTGAATGGGGCTGCCACTGGCTTCTTTCTCTCTCCATATTTTTTGCTTTCTCTTCCAGACCTTCTGTAGTGCCTTATTATTTCCTTATCTTTGGTGTCTTGAAGTTGTACAATCTACTGTTGATACCCCAACATCACAGAGTGGTGTTGCCACAGATATCCATACACAGAACATGCTTTTGCTGCCATATTCATTATACTAAACAAACAGTTTTGATAGCAATCTTCTGCATGTGATTATATTCTTCCAAGTATCAAACAGTATTTTGTCAAATGCCTGGTAATCACAATCGGCTAATTGCCTTTGCTCTTGATCTTGTCCCAGACTTCCTGCATTAGCAAAATGTATTTATAGAGCCTATGTAATAAGTGCACTGCACTGATTGAAATGTTGGATGTGTTTCAGTTACTGTTTATGCTTTATTATTCTTCTTTCTTTGTAAATTAGAGACTCTGGAAAGTGTTGGAGAGTTCAGCTTGGTGCAGTTATGATGACTTCCTAATGTTCATTTCTCTTCTTATTATGTCTGCATCTGTTGTTCGAGTTAAAAGACCTAGTAGCAGTGATAGGCCCTTTCCAAAATGATGGAGCCAAATTCTTTCAAACTATGGAGAAATTTGGTCCAGATCCAAATTTCACAGCTTGGACTTATCTCCATAATGAACCAAACCAACACCCAAGATACGAACAGCCTTGAACTTAGATCCCAGATAAGGACGTGGTGTGTAAATTCTCTTAAAGCTCAGACTCATGATCTTTTCAGAAAGGGGGTTTTCCTAATTTTAGATATCACTGCCTATCTCCTCTTTGCAAGTGCCTTCAGTGGGAAGTTTCCATGGCTCTATCAAGCCAAGTCAGCGGCCTTGGTGAACCGAGCAGCCTCAGCAAAAAGTCAGATGAGTTACATTGAGATGCTGCAGGAATCGCATTGAGCTAGGCCAGCAGCTTCGTCCAGCCATAATTTCCACTTGCAGGCTCTGCTGGGGAAACAGTCACCTCTAGGACAGGGACAGAAGTAATGCCCTGTTTTCTCTTCACCAGAGCTGCAAGGACACCTCTGCCTACATTCCTTGGTAGTACTCATAGCTGTGGCATTGGCTAACACCAAAGCAAAATTTTGTCCCACCTATGAGTGACAGGAGACTGATTGACAAAAAACAGTCTGTTTGTATCCCAAAATGTATTTGTATGATTCCTTTGTGGCTGCTTTTCACATGAGTCAACTTCTGCAAAAGGAAAAGCTCTGGTTTCACCAAGGAAATACAATAGTTTGTTTTCAATAGCACAAAATGTCTCCCATTTTAATTACTTCTTAGGAGCTCCGACATACGAATAAAGGGCCAAAAAAGGAGCGGCCATGGCTGGTGTGGCTGGGAGACCGTTCGTTATTTACAATAAAGCGAGCAGGATCAGAATATGACCTGATGGTATGACTGCTAGCATTCCAGTAAATTCCAATTGCAATTCCTCTTTCACAAGAAATGTTGCTTTTCCCAAAGAAGTCTGTCTGGTGTTTTATTTTTGTGTTTGGGCAGACCAGCTTGTTGTCTCTGGCTTCACAAGGAATGCCGAGGTGGAACAGACAGAACATTAGCTTGAGGGGAAAAAGAAATGGCCATTGCTTCAGAGTAAGCCTCCTGCCTTTCGTCAGCTCATGTCCTACCTCTGGTGCTTGGTGGAGAGGTATTTTTCCCACCCACTTTGGCCCTGACAGAAACTAAAGGAAAACAAAATAAATTGTTACATACCTGGTCTGCAGATCATCGTGTCCTTCCCCTGCTTAGTAAATGTTTCTTTAATTGGCTTAGTTAGCCCCCTCACCTTTCAGCACTTCAGGAATGACTCTTTGAAGAGAGCCATGTACAGAGATTTAGTTGACGTTTAGTGACACGAGACTCTACAGTCTCCAAAATATGACTGATGTCACTTGTTATGTTCCCTTGGGTCTCTGGGGACAAAGTCACTCTTACTCTGAAGCATGCATTGACAATCTCAAGATAACACTTCTTTGACAGAGGCAGGGGCCCTCTTCCAGGGCCTGAAGTAATCTCTAGAAAGTTTCCAATATGGGCATTGTTTGTCATTTATATCTCAAAAATGTTTTTTATGTTTGACTTGCAGTGATTTTAGTATGAAAGTTGTCACTGAGAACAAAAATATGTATTATTTTTCTGCTGGAAGGTTGTGCTGAGAAGCTCACACTCGGATGGAAGAAACATTGTGAACAAGCTCACATGAAGAGAGGAGAATGACAGCAACCTGTGCTCTTAGAATCATAGAATCACCAAGGTTGAAAAAGACCTCCAAGGTCATCCAGTCCAATTGTCCACCTATCACCAATATTTCCTACTAACAGCGTCCCTCAGTATAACACCTAAGTGTTTCTTGAACACCCCCAGGGACTGCGACTTCACCACCTTCTTGGGCAGCCCATCCAGCGCTTCTCGACGAAGAAGTTTTTCCTACTATCTCCTTCCTAACGTCCAACTTCACGCCTCATTCTGCAACCCGACACTCTGCTCACGGGGAGGGCGGCGTCGGTGCCAGCCCAGGGAAGGCGACATCATCCCTTCGGAGGGGCCC